TGCCTTACATCAGTGGTTCCCAGACTTCAGTGCACATAAAAACGGCCTGCAGGACTTGCTCAAATGCAGATTGCTGGGTCTGACCCTCCAGGTTTCTCAGACTGAGTATGGGACCTGAGAATCTGCCCTTCTGACTAGTGCCCAGGTGCTGCTGCTGCTGGCCTGGGGACCACACTCACAGAAGTGGTGCTTCAGATCAATGGCTAAAACCTGCTTAGAACATATGAAGGAAACTGACACCATAGGTGTATGCTCAAGTCATAGCCCAGGCAAGGTGTGACTGACGGCACAATCTTCAGAAAGTCTTGTTTTTCTTTTCTCTTTAACTTTTTACTTTGAGATAATTTTAGACTCATAGTCACATTGTAAAAATAGTAGAGTTCCCATATATCCTTTACCCAACTTGCCCTTATGTTAACATCTTACATAAGCACAGAGCAATCAGCAAAACTAAGAAGCTAACCTTGGGATAACACTATTAGCTAGATGACAAAATTAAGTGGACTTCACTCCCCCCACTTTTTTTAATGTCCTTTGTATGTTTCAGGATCCGACTGAGGATCCCAAATCGCATTTAGTTCCAAGATCTAACTCAAAATGCACTTATTTGTGATGTTTCCTCTGTCTCTTCCGGTCTATAGAAATTTACCAGTCTTATCCTGCATGATCTTGAGCCTCAAAGAGCACTTGTCAGTTGTTCTGTTGAAGGTCCCTCAATTTGGGTTTATCGATGTTTTTGTCATAATTAGACGGAAGTTATGCCTCATGACAAAGCATACCAGACAGATGCAGGGCCCTTCTCACGCAGCTTATGAGAGCACAGGATGCTTGTATGTTCTACTGTGACGTGTACTTTGGTCACTTCGTTAACATGGCGTCTGTCAGAGTTCTCCACTGTTGTTATTTTTCTCTTTGTAGTTACCAAATATTTTAGTGGCAATCATTTGAGACTAAAAACATCCTGTATTTGTTTAAACTTTTACATCACTAATTTTAGCAACAGTGGATCTTGTTGTGGCAATTATTACTTGAATATTACTTACACACACACACACACACACACACACCCCACATACACTCAGGTCATCATGTGCAAACTGCAAGAAACAAAAAAAAAAAAACAAGTGAAAATCTTAGAGCCAGCTAGAGAAAAAAGGAACATTACATTTCTCATCAGAAGCCATATAAATCAGAAGACAGGGGTTTAAAAGCATTAAAGTGCTGGGGGAAAAATTTTGTTTTAACCTGTCAAAACAGAATTATGAATCCATAAAAAGTGTCTTTCAGAAATGGAGAAGAAACAAGGACAATCTCCAACAAACACACACTGAGGGAATTCATTGCCACCAACTTTGCCCTACAAGAAATATTAAAGACAGTTCCTTAATATTTTAAAACAATGGGGGAGAAGGAAAAACTCTTCCATGCAGAAGAATTGCAGTTAGTAAACACAGAAGGAGTTAGGAAAATGGAGAATGATCATTAGAGCACAAAGCAAATAACTTCAAGCCTCCTTCTCAAACCACTGTCAACCAGTTCACTCCAGTTATCTTGTACACAGAATAAGATCATTATTTATCCTCTCACTGCAGAAAAGATCAAGGGTACTTTGAAAATCAGTGTCTTTCCATTTCACAATGTGGTTTATGGAGTTCAAAATATTACAATTATGAATGGCTAAGTCTTAAAATCGTGAAATGTTGGCAAGATAGATGATATCGCTAACCACTTCCTATTTTGAACATTTTAATTGGCTCAGCTGATACCAACATGAAAGGACTCTAGAACAGATATAAAGACTGTGGGGTTTTGGTACAAAACGCCCACGGAGACTGAGAGCATTTAGAAATCGAGAAGAACCATTATTGTCACACAGTGAGGGAGGTGCTGGGTGCCAGGGGCAGGAGGAAAGCAAAAGCTTCCTCTTTGGGATGTTATGTCATTGTCCCCCCAACCCCATTCCTGTAGCCCAGCAGGTAGGTCAACAGCACCCACTCCTGTGCAGTCCTGGGGGTCCCCAAAGCCTTCCCTGAGGATCGCCTCATTTGATCCTCTCAATGACTTGTGAGGAGCCAGCATTAGCTTTCCACATCAGAGATGCAGAGGGGCTGGGGCTCAGCGGGCTTGACTTGCCCACACTCTCCCCCACTGGACGCCAAGAGCTGTCCTTCACGATGCACTTGATCTCAGCAGCTGTGCTGTACTGACCTATATGTATTCTGTTGCCCCAAATGTGGGATGTATGCCAGTGATTTGGATGGAATGTGGAACAATTTTAGGGGCCCTCAGGTGTGGAATGAATTAACATTAAATCACTTGGTGAGAAAGTGATTCCCTTTCAATTCTCTTCCAGTCCTTTTGGTTATATTACAGAGAATTCCTCTAATACTGTGTGTCGTTATTACCTGCCTTACACCTTCTAATCTCTCTGGGTGTGGAGGTGGGTGTTGTGGGTGTGTGTTATTGTACTGGAGATTGAACCCAGGGATGCTCTACCACTGAGCCATATCCCAGCACTTTTAAAAATTTACGTTGAGACAGGATCTCACCAACTTGCCCAGGCTGGGCTTGAACTTGTGATCCTCTTGCCCCAGCCTCCAGAGTAGCTACGATTACAAATATGTGCCACCACACCAGTTGCTCTCTGTTTTTAATAAAGTGAGAAAAAGCCTAGGTTCAGAGCCTTTTCTAGGATACAGGATCTGGCTAGAATTAGTGACCCAGCTTGATCTTCATTTTGTCAATTCTCAAGTTACTATATTTCCCATTTGTGGCAAGTGATAAGAGTCTTTGATTTAGTGTGACTAGGTCCCTTTTCTAAAACAAAACTAATTAAAAACTTGATAAAATGTCGAGAAGACGCAGTAGCATTCAGGCATGGCACAACTTGGGCAAATGGCATGGGACCATGGTCACAAGAGAAACACGAAAGGCCAGGTCACATTTATGCATCTTAGAGAGCTCCGAGGCTGCCCAGCTGTGAGCCCAGCCACGTGTGCAGGATGAGCACCTCCCAGAGGGCAGGTCAATGGGGAGACTCTGGCTCCAACGCACAGGAGCCTGGACACACCACGAAACCCTCTGTGAAGTCACTTTCCTCTCGGCCAGGAAGCTGCCTCCCATGGAGAGGCCAGAGGGTGACAGATCAGAGGACAGAAAAGAGAACCGGTGAGGAGGGCTGGGAGCACACTGAGTGGGGACAAGAATGACAGGAGAAAACAGCAGCCGATGTTCCTTCTGTACAGGACATCAGGACTCTCATCGCCCAGGAAGATGCACACGTGTGCACAACACCTGCTTTCTTCCACACCCAGGTGTGCGCCTGGAGCAATATTAGGGGACTAGTGGGTTCCAGGTTTTGAACTGCAGCTTTGACCGTTACTATCTAGAAATGCCCTTCTTGACCAGTCCATGCCCAAGAGTAACTATAGAGAGACTTCACTAAAGAAGGATTCTTAGTTTTGCAATTTTTTGTAAGTTCCTCTCATTTTTCCATCCACTCATCCATCTACCATCCATCCTTCCTTCCATCCATCCATCCACCCATCATAAAACACTGCACTTTTCTTCCTACACTGATTTTCAGATGTGTCCACCAGGGACCCCTGACTCAGAGAAGAGGAGAACAGACTTGCTTTCTGAGACCCTAGGAAGATTCTTGGGAAATGTAAACTCAGTTTAAAAATTTTAGCATAAAAGTGTATGCCAGTTTTGGATCCTACTTATAAAAGTCTATGTGCTTTGATGTAATATCTCTGTAAAATCCTTTGTAAAGCTGACCCTGTCAGATTAACCTCGTTTACACTGCTGTGCCTTGGCTTCCTGGCACAGGGCCAAGATCACTGGTGACTCACACTGAGATGCTTCATGCCATCCCTGGACCAGGAACACGGAGACCTAGAAACCCCTATGGGTCAGGCCCCAGCTGCTGTCAGTGCAGAGCCCAGGCACAGCTTGGTCTGTGCTCAGAGATTCCTGATGAGGGTTCTGCAGCTGCAGCACCTCTGGGAAGTTCCCCTTTAAGCAAGTGATGATTTAAAATCTCTGCTCTGTAGCCACATAACCCCAAGTTCAAAGTCAATGTTGCCACTTACCAGACTTCTGCTATTGTAAAGAAAATAGCTGGTTTTGCAAACTGGTAGAAAAAGCAACTCAGCCTACAGAGGGAGTGGGAGGGAGGATGGGGCTGTGTGGAGTGGCCAAGAACCTAGGTGGCCTGGATTCCTTCCCCACCTGCACACCACCACCCTAAGACCACAGACAGGGAGCAGTCCCTTATGCCCCTGTTTCCTTGGGTTGAAAACAAGCAGGTTGGAGGAGATGGCTGCCAAGGGTCCTCCAAGCTCACTAGTGCTCTGCTCAACCTTCCCGTTTCACCAGGCTTTGATTTCCAGCCTGGTATCCCTTACCAGCCCATCTCTCCAGATCACTTCTCAAAGCACAGCGGATATCCGCTCTTATCTTGTAAAAGCAACAGCTGTTAACTGGCATCTCCCGAAGTGTTCTCTGCTACATCTAGGAAGGTTAAAAGTCTCGTTCCTAGTATGGATTTTTTTTAAATTATTTTTTTAGATGCTGATGAACCTTTATTTTATTCATTTATTTGTATGTGGTGCTGAGAATCGAACCCAGTGTCTCACACATGCTAGGCAAGCACTCTACCACTGAGCCACAGACCCAGGCCCTAGTATGGATGTTTTAACTGCATGGAAGGATAATACAACTAGACCTGCTACAGTCTCAGAAGGCCGAACTGCAACGAATTAGACAAGAAAAGCCAAATTTCATTATTGGGCCTTGAATGTTTCTCCAGCCAAGACTCTCTAAGAAGATGATCATATCCCTAAGGCCAATTTCCTGTTCCCTTTTTCCCCTGAGTGCAACAAATGTCTATTTAATTAAGCACGTCCCCTCTGCTGTTCACAATGAGGACCCATGGAATCTTAGTTAATAAAATGAGAATTTATTAAATTTTCAGTTCTAATAAATAGTCAGTCATCATCTCTGCAGTGGGCCCCAAGCCCTGGTAAAAATGAAATGATCTAAGTGACCATTCAAAGAGAAAAGGTTAAAGTGTGTTCTTCAGTTACAAAAGTGACTTTCTCTCCTGTCCCCCTCCATCTTGAGGCAGTTTAAACACCTGAAACCAAATTCAGTTTTCTTATCACACTGAGGTCTCCAAGACACCTTAGCCAAACATTCTAGTCTTAAACAGAAAAGGAAAACAAAATGGAAAAACAAAAAACCCTAAGAAGCGTGCAGAAAGAGTAGACTAGTTATTCTCCCTATTCATGGAACCATTGATAAATCTGCTTGGAAGGATGCCCCGCCCCCAATCCCTCCAAAACAAAAAACCAAACCAAACCACCATAGCCCTGGAACGTTCTGGAACATTCCTTTCCCTTTTCTTGAAGGGGCTAGGTGAGGCAGAGAATGTCTCCTTTCAGTGTTCTAGGGAAAGAACTAGAGTCTTGCAGGTTTTCATTTCTAAATGAAACAGTGGGGGGGGGGGGGGGGGTTTGCAGGGAGAATCAGGCTCATAGTCAACCTATTTCCCTTGGGCAGTTAAAACTTGGGAGAAAGATAAGTGACAATACAGTGTCTTCTGTTGCTTCTGTGATTCATTTAGAAAAGATTGGATTTAAACAGGATGGGTAAAGGTAAGGAGTCAGGCATGGGACTTCCAGTCCCCCCAGCCCTGGACGGTGGTTCTTGTTGGGGCCAAGGTCAGATTTCCAAAGGTGGGCCTGGGGGACCGGATGGGAAGGGGCCCGGGGTGGCCGTGGAGGGCCAGCGTCTCCTGCTCCAGTCCCCGCCAGGCCTCGCGCCCGGCAGCGCCCTGTCCTCTACCTGTCCCCGCTGGTCTCTGCCAACCTGTTGTTCATGATGGCGAAGGCGCCCACCCCGCCCGAGAACTCGTCCTCCTGGGACGGCGTGCCGGCCTGGTGCGGGCCGCCGTTGGCCATCTCGGACAGCTGCTTCTGAAGGATGGCCAGCGACACCTTGCTGGAGTCCTTCATGGAGATCATCTCCCCCGAGAGCCGCCGCCCGTCCGTGTCGCTGTCCGCCACGCCGCCGTCCGTCTCGGTGGAGATGTCGCCCAGGGGGTGGCGGACGTTGCCCGGCGTGACCGCGTTCCTGCGCGACCGCGCCAGTCTGCGGTGGCACGGCTGGACGCAGCGGCCGTCCACCTTCCTGAGGATCCAGTTCACCGTCTGCTTGATGAGGATGGAGATGACGTTGAAGAGCGAGTAGATGCAGCACACGCCCGTGAGGATGAAGACGAAGTTGGCCAGGCGGTAGAGGCCCTGGCTCTCGTACTGGGCGCCCTGGCTGCTGACCAGGTCCCCGAAGCCGATGGTGCTGAAGGCCACGAAGCAGAAGTAGAGCGAGTCGAAGTAGCTCCAGCCCTCCATGGGCGCGTACACGGCCGACGCCCCGCAGGACACGAGCACCGAGGCCGAGCACAGGATGAGCATCACGTAGTACACCGAGGGCTTCCAGCCGGCCAGGCTGTCCGCGCCCCTGCCCGTCGCCTTGAGGCTGCCCGCGGGCAGCGCCCCGCGCCTGCGCAGCTGCCGCTGGTGGCACGACCGCATGATGTAGGCGATGACCGTGATCAGCCGCTCCAGGAAGAGGTTGAAGAACAAGATGGTGCTGGCGCAGCCGATGAGGCCGTAGAAGATCAGAAAGATCTTTCCTCCTACGGTCGCTGGAGTGGTCATCCCAAACCCTGAAGGACATAAAAATCAGAGGAGAGAAGGGTGAGAGGGGTCTTGTCTGAGAATGGGGTCAGGGTCTTGGCGTGGATGGCTGGCAGAGGACCCAAAGGAACCCTCTGAGCAAACCGCAGCCTCCTAGCCTTTCTAGGAACCAGCAGGAGAGTGCTGGCCTCCTTTGGAAGAGGCTGAGCTTGGTTCCGAGCACAGAGCTGGGCTGCTGCACATCCAGGCGGGGCAACTGTGCCAGCAGAAAAAGGCACCTCTCGCTCAGGGTGGATACAGCCAGCAAGAAATGGCTTGGTGATGACACTGTGGGCTGGACTTCAGCCCCCTCTCCCCCACTTCGTTAGATGGCCTTGTACAGTAGGAACCTGAACATCCACACCCATCAGGCCTTGTTCCTAGAGATAAGCAAATGTTCACCACAGAAAAGGCTTATGGAGACTCATCTGAAGTCATTTATTCTACAAACACTTGCAGAGCTGGAGATGGAACTGTGGGCCAGACAGATCTGGCCACTGCACTCCTGGAGCACTAACTGGTTCAGTGAGCATACACTGTGTGGTGGGTCTTGTGCTGGAGGACTACAGGGCTCTGTGGGAGCTGCTATGAGGATGTCCCATCTCCGGCTTGGGGTTCTGGAAAGATTACACAGGCAGTTAGGCAGACAGGAGAGGGCACGTGTGAGCGCAGGGGATGGTTCCCACAGAGAAACAGCAGGCGCCAGCAAAGGCAGAAATGAGAAATTTGCTCAAGATTTTCCCATCTTTTAAACAAAGCCCCTTGACTCACACCTTATGTTCTTGGGGTGCTGAGAGAGGCACCGGGTGTGATAGTTAGATGAAATACACAATCTCCCTCTCGCCTTTGCCTCTTGCCATGCTAGTTCCACCTTCTTGACTTTGCTACCTGGGCACACAGGTGTGCAGCTAAGAACAGGCATCGCGTGGGACAATGAGCATCCTTAGGAACAACAGAATCAGAGAGAGGGCGGTGACACGCAGCCCTTCCACTTGTGGCAGCGAGGGCCAGCCCACCTTACTGGAGGGACATGGGCTCCTTCCCGCCAGTGACGAAATTCAACACAGAGAAGGCTGCTTTGTGGGGAGGACTGGCATCAGAGCCACCATAAAAGCTGAGTACTGAGCATGATCCAGGGCTCAGGTTCTCAGTGGAGTGAAGCCTCCTTCTTTCCATTTGTTTTTACTTCACTTTCAAGTTCAGTGTCCTTGAGCCCATGTTGGGACCCCAAGGACTCACCCTCTGTCCTCTTTCCTGATAACCGCCCCCTACAATCTGTTTCCTTGTCACTACAGCTCCACTGTGGCCGCCTGCGGTGCGTCCTGGGGAGTGGCCAGAGTGGATCTTTGAAACGTGTGGGCTTCTGGGACGTGACCTCTTGGTCTCCAAGGTCGAGTCCAACGCCCAGATATGTGCACAGTTTTGCTGTTTTGTTTCTAGCTGAATTCAATTGTCTCTTCTCAGCATCTGAGGAGCTGCATTTGGCTATGAAATGAACAGCATGTGACCAAGAGAATAGAATGATGTGCTGAGCTCAGCTTCTCAGCTGGATGGGGTGACGTGGAATGGACGGGGCAGTCTGATAAGGAAGGACCGAGGGCCAGGGAACAACCCACTGAGGGTCAGTTAGGACCCTTAATGGTAGGGAAAAAAATCAGACCATCATCTCTTCTTTGGAAAATGTTGTTTTCAAAATCAAAGGCCCTTCAGCAACTCTTGCCAGCGTAGGCTCTTACTTGCTAGGTGTCCTTATTATGTAAAGATGTCCCAGCGGCTCGGGAGGCTGAGACAGGAGGATTGCGAGTTCAAAGCCAGCCTCAGCAATGGCGAGGCGCTAAGTGACTCAGTGAGACCCTGTCTTTAAATAAAACACAAAATAGGGCTGGGGATGTGGCTCAGGAGTCAAGTGCCTCTGAGTTTAATCCCTGGTAATCCCCCCCCCCCAACAAAAAAGAGAGATGTCTATTGGGTTTGCTGCCTTTTTCTCTTGTTAGAATCTTTGATTCTCATCCCCAGGCTCAAGTTGCAGTGAAGTCATGGAGAGCCGAGTCTAATGGCTCAAGGGTCTGGAGTCTCATGGCTGAGCTGAGAGCCCTGTCTCTTTCCACCCAATTCAAAAGAACACTGAGGGGTCAACATGGCGTCCAGTAATTAGTTCCTCATTTTCTGAGGAACTTGGAGCCAGAAAATCTTGCAAATATTCCCCCAACTTGGAAGATGGAGAAACAAAAGAAGACAGGAGCCCCTTGCTGCAAAGCTGGAAGACCAGAGAGGGCTGCTGCTCTAGTCCCCGAGAACAGCAGATCAGGACAAAAAAGGGGAAACCCTCATCCAGGCCATTTTAATAAATCCAGAGGCTGGATAAAGTGAATGGAAACAGGAAAGATTTAGGAGCAGTAAGTGGGGCGCAGGGGCACCTTAGGATCACGGGGACTTACTCGTGCACCCCGCTCCTGTCTGAGGGAGGACTCAGTCTCTCTGGCCTTGGGAAGCAGAGCCAGGGGAATTGTTGTGACTCAGCTCCCAGCCACAGGTGACAGCCATCTTTACTGAGCTCCTGTTGAGCATGAGGCAGGCCCTGCGCCACTTGTTTGGGCCTCTGCTGTCGTCTGAATGTTTGTGTCTCCCCGAATTCATGTGCTAGGCTCCTCCCCCCACGTGATGAATTAGAAGGAGGTGGTTAGGACACAGGTGGGACCTTCGTGAACACGACCAGTGCCCTCGTTAAAGAGGCCCTGGAGCTCTCTTCTCCTGCCACCCAGGGAGGACTCAGCAGGGTGCTTCTCTAGGGAGGTGGCACCTTGATCGCAGGCCTCCCTGCGTCTAGAGCGCTAAGCCCCCAGTCGATGGTCATTTGTCACAGAAGTCCTGGTCGACCAAATCAGCCTCACCCTAAGGTGACCTGAACAAGGTCATCAGAGAGCCCAGCATCGGACGGAGCTGGCACAAATGAACTCTACACCATGAGCCACAGAGGGTCAAGGGCCTCGTCCCCCAGGGTCCCCAGGGCAGCTTCGGCACAAGCCTGAGTCACTGAGTCTGGGAGCAGCTGAGCCTATTGAGGCCCAGGGATGCATGGGTTTTGTCTGGAGGCCCTGAAGTTCCCTTAACCTACTTCAGACCTGTGTTCATGTGACCACAACCCCCAGGGCAGCTTCTAGGATCAATCCAGGCTCCCCCCTTGTCCTTGGGGCTAGGAAGGAAGCTACCAGGCACTGCCAAGGTGGCAGTCAACCTCCGTGGAACCCCTCACTGAGACCATGAAGAGAAGAACAGGCCTGCAGTCTTCTAGCCTTAGATGTATATGCTGTTTACTAGACAGTCTTTTTCCAAAGTCAATCAAGGTGAAAAGTTTAAAAGCTTTGTATTATGATATTTTCCAAACATACAAAGTTAGAGAGAATAGTTAAATGTGCCTTCATTTCTCAGGCTTGGCAATTATCAACCTATTGCCAATTGTGTTAGTCAGCTTTCTATCACTGTAACAAAATGCCTGAGAAAAATAATTTATAAGGAGGAAAGGTTTATTTTGGCTCATGGTTTCAGACCATGGACAGTTGGTCTGTTTTTGGGGTGCCTGTCATGATGAGAGTGCTTGGTGGGAGAAGCTGCTCAATTCATGGTGGCCAGGAAGCAAAGGGAAAGAGTAAGGGGCCAAGGTCCTATAACCCTCTTAGGGGGAATCCCCCAGTGAGCTAACTTCCTCCCTCTGGGCCTCATCTGCTAAAGTCTCCACCACTCCCAATAATGCCAGGCCTCCAGCACTTAGGAATTTGGGGGACACCCAGCTCCCCTATCCCAGCCCACTCCTTTATTTGCTATGGTATTTTAAAATGAATCCCAAACAGCATGCCACTCCGTCCATTAATAAAGATGCATCTGTGACTTCCTGGGACCTTGTTTCCCAACATCACCACTAATAAAAAAAATGCGAAATCCTTCACGTCCAATAATGCCCAGTCCCTGCTAAAATTTCTCTTTACAGATCACTGGGACGGATTAGGACCCTAACAAGGTCACACTGAGTGTGTCTCTGCTGTCTCTCTGTCTCCCTTCCCATGTTTATGCAATTGATTCGTTGGGTAAATGCATCCTGTAGACTTGGCTCAGATTTTTTTTCTAGGGACAACTGGGGGGTGGGAGGAGAACACCTGTGTGTTATGAACGTGCCCCGTGTGTATCGTCAACTCTCAAATGCTTCTTGGGGACACAGAAAGAGGCCCACACTGTCTGCGAGCGATTTGGCAGAACGTACTTAGAACTATCTACATCCTTTTCTGGTTTTTTGTTCTTAGGAACCCATCCCCCCTAATCAGACACGTGACTGGTTCTGCATGTGGACACCTGCCACGTCTTGACTTTTAATGATAAAAACCTTCTGCAACTGTGACATCAGAGACAGGGAGTGACTCGGGGAAGCAGTCGTGGAAATGGTCCACAGTCACATCCCAAAGCCTCAAAGTGCACCTTCCCTGCAGTGGCCCATCTCCACACGCCACGTTCCAGGGCATGACGTGGCCCCTTCATGTTTCCGCCACCTCTTTCTAGGACTTTCTGTTCACGGCTGCCCAAAACATTTCAACTGCTCTGATAGCCATCGGTTATTCCTTCATCCGACAAATACTTCATGAGGAGGTCCCCGCCAGCCGAGCCATCCCGAGGACACCCTCTGACTCTGCTTCTCTCCACTGAACACCTTCTCCAGTCCCGAGGGCTCTGGACACACAATGCGGTCTGCAGCTAAAGTTCTGTGAGCCTCCTAAAGGCCGATTAAAGGTTTAATACGCAAAGGTCAAGTGTTTGCAGTTGGAACTGACTTCCTCTGGGAAATCGTCACCTTCCATGTTGGGAGTGCTGGGGTGTGGGGTGCGGGGTGGGGGGAGTGTTGCTGGGGCAGTTGAAGGTGTCAGGGTCTCGGTGTTTCTAGGTTTTAGACACTGTGCATGGCGTGGGGAGAGTCGGTGCTGCCCTCCAGGGAACCCGAGCCAGG